TAGGGAAGAGAGTTGGAAAATGTTGATAGTGTGCTCACAGTGCCTAGCCTGTCGCCCATCAGATTGGGAATTAAATGTTAAATTAGAAAGTAAATGGTTTTTTCTTTTTCTTTCCAAAATTTCTACTGAAAGATTTCTAAGACTGTGCATTTGAGGCCAAACTTTTCATACTGTCTTTGGAGTTTTAAAGCAGTAAATAAAATAGGTAAAATATTTACTTTCCTGTGTTATTGCAGTTCAGTTTGTCTGCTTTCTGTATATTTTAATGTCTGTTAGGCTTCTCTCTATAAATAAATGACTGATTCTGCTTTTATCTAACACTAATGTAAGTGAATGTGCCCATACTCCCTTGAGAGTGAATTTTATCACTGACATTGAAGTGATGGTTCAGTCTTTTTTTCAGAGTAAAGATTGGCAGTTGTCAAACTGAATAGATTCTTCAAGACTTAACTGATAATTTAAGAGCTCTTTGTATGGTACTTACATTTACAATTTAGCTTCTGATCAAATAAAGTTTTAGGCCAGTACTTTCTATCAATCTTGTTTTCTTTACTTCTGTGTATTCTGCAAAATAATGAGCTAATGGGGTTTTTCTGCCATAAAAGTACAGTATATATTGCACTATTTTTTTTAAATGCAAACCGGGGTTATGGCATAATGTACTCTTTCCAGGGTTCCCAGTGGGTCCTTGAGATGCTAAGGAAATCTAATGTCCACTTAATGTTAATAATCAAACTTCTCTTTTGTTCAGATGACTACGTTGCTATTGGTGCTGATGAGGAAGAACTGGGATCTCAGATTGAAGAAGATATCCTTTGCTCTAGAATTAGTATTTGCTGATGGATTTATATTGATGTTTAAAAATGTTTTTGGTCGAAATATTAAATATTAATTTTATTCAGTAGGAAAATATTAATTTTTCTCAATACAGCAGTGTGAAAATGTTTAGTGTTCTTACAGTATATGAACATTAAATTACATTCAGAACTCTTTTCCTTAAGTTATGGTCTAGGGCTGCTGCTGCTAGTAGCAGCTTTAGCAGATATCTTACTAAAGAGACCTGTGGTGAGATTCTAGAGGCAGTGTGGCCTCGTAGATGGAGTTCTGGACTGGGACTTGGCAGAATGAGGTTTTATTCTCACCTCTGCCGTTGACCTGCAGGGTGATCTTGGACAAGTTCATTTCTTATCTCTATTTCTTATCTCTGAAATCTGCTGAGGACAAGTACTATGTAGGATCTAGGTGGTGGTGGTGGTGGTGGTGTTCCTGTAATCTTGGATGAAATCTTAATGCACAAAATATGTATAACTATCAAAGTGCTTAAGTCGTCTTTTACTTTAAATTGCTTAATTTCTATTTTGTGTTTGTTTGTTTTTTAATTCTGTGTTAATGCTTTTACAAAGGAGGGCTGTTCCTCCTGCACCCAACTTCATATTGAAGTAAATGTATTGTTTTCAAATGAGCCAAATTAGCAATAGACGGTATCTGTTACTAAGCAATAGGGTAAAAAAGGAAGTAACAATCTGAGCTACCTGATAGTACCCTGACAAGTAGACATTTAGCCTAAAATATGTCTTCTGTTAAGAAATTGGTGAAAACTTTTGTTTAATTTTTCATAGGAAATTTGAGTTGGTATTACTGATGCTCAAATATCAACCATCCATTACTTTGGAAACTAATCTGTACCTCAGAAGAGTAAATTTAAGATGCCCATTGTACGTTTGTGGGAGGCTTCTGCAAGTTAGAGAGAGCTTGAGAAATCTTCAGTTTCACACTGTAGTCTTCCAAATGGTCAGCAAAACTGTTTCTTAATGTGTTGATCTGGTTGCCATGTGTTGAGCAGAAAACATTGAGAAAATTATGTAATACATACATTGGTAGCCATTGCTAAGGAAAGAAACTGTTCAGAATTGTAAGACTAGATTTAGCAGAGCTTGGGGTTTCTTTGGGTTTTTTAATATATAATTTCAGTAGATAGGATTTGTGTTTTATATTTAAGCGTTTTTTTTTAAACTTTTATCTATTTAAATTTTATTGGAGAGATAAGACACTGTGATTAAAAAGTTAGTTTTATGACCATTAAAAGAAGAATCTTCAACATCACATCACAATGTACAAAGTAAATATACTTCAATAAAACTAATACATTCTCGAGCAGTATTTTTATCACTATGCTGATCTGTACATTTCTATTATTATTGATGAAAATATTTTTCATCTGCGTAGGGTCAGAGCAATGTTTAGTGACATTTACTGATAACATCTAATGCTGCCAAACCTGTGCAAGCCTGAGTAGACATTTGTGAAAGAAATATTATATTGTGTTCTGCATATTACTTCTTGTTGATATATTCCTTAAGTCATAAGCACCTATATATCAAGAATTGAAAAACACTGACATGAAATACAAAAATCGGGTACGAAGTAGGATAGCAAATCTCAAAGACACAAAGAACCCTAATCTAAGAAAAAACGTATTATGTGGGAACATAGCTCCAGACAGGTTTGCCAAAATGACAGCAGAGGTAAGTAAATATTAGGTCCTGTAAATGTTGTTATTGTTTGACTTAAGTATACAAACTATCAACAAAAATTAATTTTATTTTCTTGCCTTTTTTATACTTTTGTATCTGCACATGCTCATAAACATAGGTACTTAGGTCTCAATTGTGATTTGTCCGTTCAGCAGTAAGATGGCTTGCAGACTCAGAGATTGTGGGATAATTCAAAAGGTGTGATGCTTGCATAAGGCAAGAGGCAGGTATAATGTCTTTAGGCTGCATTTTTTATTGCATACAGACTAGCCCCAGCCTTAAAGTTAGGGGATGTGGAGTGGAGGTTTTCCAGTGCCCTCCTATTGGCCTCCCATCCCCCGCAGCACAGAGTCACATGGAATAGCCGACTGGGGGCTGCTGACATGCAGGGAAGCCTGCTTGAGTGTGCTGTTGGCCAAGAGCTGCTTACATAAGCATCTCCCAGTCAGAGCCTCTCTCTGGCACCCACCTCCCTCCCGCACCCAACTCCTGCACCCACTCCCACATCCCTCTCCCAGGCTAGAATCTCTGCTGCACCCATACTCTCTCCCAGGTTCTATTATAACTATGCTAGTATTATTTTTTTATGAAAGGACAGTGTTACAAAACTGTTCACATTGTGAGTATTTCATGGTGGAAATAAACTTTTATGCAAAGACAAAAATAGTGAAATACAATTTTGCACAACCAGAAAATTGCACGAGGTTCCATTCCTGGGGACCTTTCTCTACTGCCTTTTTTTCTTTATCCCCACACTAATTAGTATGTTCACTTAGGTCTATATGTTTTTCACAAAGACCTTTTTCGCATGTTTGGTGATTATGTAACTACTGCTGTTTAATCAGGGGTATAAAGGAGTGAAGAAATGTTTTATCTTTAGGTAGCATCTTTGGCAAACTTAGTGAAAGTTGTGAAATTTTAAGTTGAACCTTGTTCCGTTTGAATTTAGCCAAGATAAAAGATCCAAGATTCCTAGAATGATTTAGCTGCTTGAAAGGACACATGTTCCTGGATTTAAAAACAAAATCATATCTTCAATATGAATAGATACATTTTTCAAATGAAATTTGCTAGGCTCATATATGCGGGGGACATATTATCAAAATTGTAAGAAGTGAATACCCAACAGCAAACTGAGAATGTTATGGTAGACAGTCTCTTTTCCATAACAGGAGATGGCAAGTGATGAACTGAAAGAGATGCGCAAAAATCTGACCAAAGAAGCTATTAGAGAGCACCAGATGGCTAGAACAGGAGGCACCCAGACTGACCTGTTCACATGCGGCAAATGTAAAAAGAAGAATTGCACTTACACGCAGGTACGTAATCATTCTTATTCCCTTTTGTCAAGGCTGAATCTCAATTTTAAAGACACTTTTCTCTCTCTCTCTCTTTTTTTTTAAGAATTTGTATTTCAGTCTCTTGTAACTTGACAGCTGAAAGAAATTCTTTTATAATATACCAGTGTTTGAGTTGCTTTGAAATGTTTCTTTGTTTCAATTAACCTAAAGCAAAGGAATATTCTGCTCTTTGAGAAATAAACAGTAAACAGTGGCAACAGAGAGCCTCTTTTTATAACCAATTATAAGCAGCAATTTTTTATTTCCAAATATGCTTATTTCTGTTGGTATTTCATAGATTTAGATCTGCTTTGATGGAGAAAATGCTCATCTTATTACATTGCTTCTCTCAGTCTTCTTAGAAATTAGCAATTAAGCCTAATCTTAATACTCTATCCAAGGAAAGACATTCTTTAACATTGACAAGAATTTTTTTTTTTAATTTCAGCAATACTGGCGGGGGGGGTTTTTTTGCTAGACTTTCCTTTTATCAGGAAATGAAAAGGACTTTCCGTTTCCTTTCCTTGTGCAGGAAATCAACTGATATAACTAGTGTTCTTAATGTGCTTGAACTATCTTTCTGTGTTTTTTGGTGGTGATGGCAAATGTTATATGTTGAAAGTAGGGATATTAGCGTGTAATCATTTACACGATTAATCAATAAACCCAGGCTTATCGGTTAATCCTAACGGTTACACACATACCACCCTTTATTGCCTCCGTATCAAGGGCAACAAAGGTGGGGGAGACAGTAGCTGGCTTTTAAGCTGTCTCCCTGAACATGCAGGCTCCTGTGGAGCCGCCTGTTTCCCCTCCTGCCTCCTCCCCCGCACCTCAACAAACACACTGCTGCCTCTCTGTCAGAGGCAGGGGGAGGAGGGGCAGGCGAGAGCTGGTGCTCACCTGGCCTGTGTGTAAACATGTAACTGCTAAACATTTCAGTGGCTACACGTTTACACAAATACACAATTATTAACATCCCTAGTAGAAAGCCTCTGAATATTAACATTAGTTATAATTTTATTAACATAGGGCCTGTTTTACAAGCCTTCTATTTGAACATAAGAACGGCCGTGCTGGCTCAGACCAAAGGTCAATCTAGCCCAGTATCCTGTCTGCCAACAGAGGCCAATACCAGATGCTCCAGAGGGAGGGAACATAACCGGTAATCCTCACATGATCCCTCCCTTGTCATCCATTTCCAGAGAAACAGAGGCTAGGGACACCATTCCTACCCATCCTGGCTAATAACCATTGAATCTAAAACTTATAGTTCTAGCCTTCACAGCCTCCTCTGGCAAGGAGTTCCACAGGTTGACTACACGCTGTGTGAAGAAGAACTTTCTTTTATTAGTTTTAAACCTGCTACCCATTAACTTCATTTGGTGTCCTCTAGTTCTTCTATTATGGGAACTAATAACTAACTTTTCTTTATTCGCCCTCTCCACACCACTCATGATCTTATATACCTCTATCATTCCCCCCTCAGTCTCCTCTTTTCTAAACTGAAAAGTCCCTGTCATTTTAACCTCTCTTCATATGGGACCCGTTCCAAACCCCTAATCATTTTAGTTGCCCTTTTCTGAACCCTTTCCAAGGCCAAAATATCTTTTTTGAGGTTAGGAGACCACATCTGTACACAGTATTCAAGATGTGGGCGTATCAGAGTTTTATACAGGGCAGTAAGATATTCTGGGTCTTATTTGTACCACTCTCGCTAATTTAATTGGGAATTGTGTGCAAAAAGCTTGCAAAGTCAAGTCCATATTGATTTCAGTAATGCTATAGAGTATATATTTGACCATAATAAGCTAAGTGTATGCTTCTAGTAGGTAAAATGTTTTGATGCAAACACATACGGTAAAAATCTCTCTCAATTCTTGGTGCTTTTAGGTCACCCCATCATAAGTACATTTGTTTAAATCTATGAAGACTGTACAATTGCTACTTCTAAAAAAAAAAAAACCTTCAAAAATATTTGCACAGTTCTACATGGATCTTCATTATTGAAATTAATACTTTTTGTACTTAAATCAGCCAAGCAAAAGGGTTCCCTCTTTATGTGTTGGCACAAAAACTTTACTCCCTTTTTTCCTATAAATGAAATTATCATAATTATTTGTTAAAAATCTAGTAATTCCAATTTAAGTGTTTGCCTAACTTGTACTCTCTTGTGTTCATAGTTGACATGGTGCTTAAAATTTTAACTTACCTAGGTTTTTCATGTGTGAGGGTATAACCATTTTGTGGGTTGTAAAGGTTCAGAATTTGTTAAACTTTATAAATACTTTAAATGGAACGTTGAACCATTCTTACACAATGGATTTCAAGTAATTGTTTGAGCATATGTGCATAGCTCTTATAGTGCTTTTATTTAGGATATAAAGGTTTTATTTTAGTGTACAGTAAGAACTTTACATTGAACAAAAATGGAATAATTGAACAGGATTGTGGTGATAGTATTTTTCTTTCCTTTTCATTTCCTTCTCATTCCCTTTACTGTAGGTTCAAACTCGCAGTGCTGATGAACCTATGACAACATTCGTTTTCTGTAATGAATGTGGAAACAGATGGAAGGTAAAGCTTTTGTTCTCTTCTATATATTGTGTAGCAGATGGTCAAATTTCCAGTTTACTTTTCTGATTACAGAAAGCCTATTTGAGTTGTTAATCTTTTGTTTTTCTTCTCAAACCAGTTTGATAAATCATAAATATTGCCAAGTACCTTTAACCTAGAAATATATTTGGAAACGAAACTCTTATAGTTTGCAGTTAGTGAGATGTCCCATTAGCTATATTGATTAAATCAGTTTTCAGATTGTCCTGTAGTCTCGTTTTGTCTTTCTTTTTCTGTTAAGGCTTACCATTGTGTAAAACTGAGTGCAGGGTGTGTGAGCTTTTAGAACAGCTAGAATTTGAATTCAAAAGATGTGGAGGAAAACAAAATGAAACTATTTGATCTAGACAGTTACATATTTAACTCATCATAGATTCTCAAATAGGATTCAGCAATAACACTTCTAAACCAGAAGATCAGATTAAATACAAAATGTTGCTTACTGTGCAATGAATACAGTTATTAATTTAATTTTAAATTTTTCATATTAAAAAATTACAGTGCCTCAAGCTCTGCAATTTAGTATAATGTCATGGATCAATGCCCAAAAAAAACCAAGACACTGCTGGTCTTAGGAGCCAGTGACTGTTCTGGCCAAACACATTATGAACAAATAGGATTAGAAATGAAAACACTGGAAAGCAAAGGGCCCAAGCTTTTCAACCATGTGTAGAATTCATTTTTCAAGTATGTGTCAGTGTGGATCCACTCTAGATTTGTATGAGCCTCTGCACGTTAATCTGGATTTTTCTGAAAATCCAGGTCTCGTGGGGTGGCATATGCTCTCTCTGGCTCATCATGTTCCTGCATGAGGGCCTAAAAGATGAGGTGTCTGCAGTCCTCCTTCAATTCTCTGGGGCAACAAGATGGAACCTAGCTGATGTGCAATCTGTTAGACTATTAGCTTTGGGGAAACTTCTCAAAACGCTTGTTCACTTCTGAGATTCTTCAGAACCATCTTCATTTTTTTTTTATTACCCTAGTCTTAGTGCTTGTCAAATAGAAAGCTGCTTTTAAGCCCCACACCCACGCACACATGAACGCACATTCCCCAAACCTCACTGAACAGCAGCTTGGCACAGTGGATCCAAAGCCCACAATATTCAGGCTTGTCCATCCTGTAACTGTCTTAATTCCTCTGAAATATTGGTCCAGCAGATGTGTGGTCTACTTGGGAGAGTCTTGAATTCTAAGCAGCTGCTCACTTTGCCTCTCCTTCTCTGAAAGAGCTCTCAAATCCATGGGATGCAAGGCTGCAGCTCCATCTTTTGGAGCAATCTATGAAAGTGCCATCAGATACAGAAGAGCCAAATTACTTTAATGCTCAAACCTACATCTAACTGGCAAGCAAGTGACTCTTAAGACCTTAGCAGAGACAGTGGTGCCAAAGCCAGTCATAGAATCAACATCAGTACTAATGCTGTGCCTAGACCCAAAGCCCTCGTCAGGCTCAACATCAAAATTGACACCTCAAAGTCAGTTTTGATGCTGTGAAAGAGGCCAGCCTGAGTGGTGGGGAAGGAGCTCTGTGCTCTCTTGTGAAGAAGGAAGCAAGAAGATGACAGAAGACAAGTCACACCTAGAATTGAAGATGCACAGAAAGGAGCTGATGGTGGCACAGCACATACTACCAGTATTGCTCTTGTACCATATATATCCCAGGATGTATTTCAGAGTCCTCAGCTACAGAGACTTTGACTTATGAGGGGAATAAAGTAAGGATGTTAAGGAACAAAATACAGGACTATGTAGCACTTTAAAGACTAACAAGATGGTTTATTAGATGATGAGCTTTCGTGGGCCAGACCCACTTCCTCAGATCAAATAGTGGAAGAAAATAGTCACAACCATATATACCAAAGGATACAATTTAAAAAAAGTGAACACATATGAAAAGGACAAATCACATTTCAGAACAGAAGGGGGATGCGGTGGGAGGGGGGAGGAAAGGAAGGTAAATTCCTGTGAGTTAATGATATTAGAGGTGGGGAAGGGTAGATGACTGAGAGTTAATGGTATTAGAGGTGATAATTGGGGAAGCTATCTTTGTAATGGGTAAGGTAGTTGGGGTCTTTGTTCAGCCCCCTGCGGACAGTGTCGAATTTTAGCATGAATGCCAGGTCAGAAGATTCCCTTTCAAGTGCAGATTTGAAAGTCTTCTGATGTAGAATGCATGTGATTAGGTCATTGAGACAGTGACCTTTCTGGTTGAAATGGCAAGAAACTGTTTTTTCTTTGTGATCCTGTCTGTCTGTTTTGTGGGCATTGATTCTTTGGCGAGGTGTTAAGCACTAGTCGACTATCTGATAAGCAAATGCTGGGGACTCTTGTACATTTCAAAGCTGGCACGCCGCACTGTATTTATGTGACCATCAGTTATTTGTACTATAATGTCCATGAAGTGAATCTCCTGTGTGGATAGTGGGGTGGAAGTTGTTGAAAGCCCAGTGGAATTCAAGGGCCTCCTTTCTGTGGGTCCAGATGATGATGATGTTGCCAGTGTAGCACAAGTAGAGGAGGGACACTTGGGGATGGGAGCTGAGGAAGCGCTGTTCTAAGTCAGCTGTAAAAATGTTGGCATACTGTAGGGCAATTCAGGTACCTATAGCAGTGCCTCTAACTTGAAGATACAAATCATTCCCAGATCTGAAATGGTTGTGGATGAAAACAAAGGCACAAAGTTCAGTAACCGGTTGTACCATGTCATCATTGAGGATATCGTTCCTGATGACTTGTAGTCCATACTTATGTACAGTATTGATGTGGAAAACTTCTGACTCCTGTAAAGAGATCTCATCACCTTTTGGCTTCTCTTTTTTTCTGTGGAGAGGGCAAGGAGACTTGCTGCTAGATCGCCTGGTGGGTAATGGGTGAAGATTTGGCAAGAGCGCTCTGGCTTTGACTAATGTATTTTTGAAAATTATTTCAGAAGTTTTGATGAACTACAACGGTCAAGTAAAGTGAGGACAGTACTATAATTAGAAGAAAAAAAGGGTTTTTTCCCCTTTACTTATCTTAATTGGGCCATTGTGCAGTGAATTGTGAACTCCGATCGCTTTTTCAAAAGTAATCTAGATGCGGTTCTTTCGAGAAAAAAACCCTTTTTCAAAAGAACCATTCTTCCTAAAAAATGAGGTTTACACTGTTCTTTCAAAAAAGGGTTTTTTTCCTCGAAAGAACCACATCTAGACTTCTTTCTTTTTTGAAAGAACATCTTTCGAAAAAGCGATCAGAAGAAGACATGCAAATTTGTGCCGAATTTGCATATCTTCTTTTGAAAGTGAAAGCAAGTCTAGACATGCCTATTGTCTGCTGATAGTCAATATTTTGTTTGCTTCTTGTTGTTCATTATGCGGGCCAAAGTTTATTTACTGTACAGTATTCAAATTTTGGTCTGAAAAGAGAATTCATATTTTCCTCGTGGGCTTTTGCATGTTGCCCATTGCTACAGATGTTTGAATATTTCACAGACATGAATTAATTTATCTTTACAAAATTTCTGTGAGATTAGTCCTTATTTTACAGATGGGGAACTCAGGCACAGAGAGATTAAAATCAAACATGCCCCCACTAATTCTGGTGTACAGTTTGAAACATCTAGAACCTAATTTTTCCAAACAAATAGCATTGCATAGAGCTTTATATAATGCAAAACACAGTTCCCATTTTTCTCTGTAAGTTCCCAGCATTTCTGCAAAGTTAGAAACACGCAAAATGAAAGAATACGTAATTATTGACCACATATGATAAGTTTGGTATAAGTGACTTGCCTAAATTCACACAGAACCTCTGTGGCAGCAGCAGAGGTAGAATCCAGTTTTCCAACGCTTTGTTCAACCACTGTATTTATCAAATTTCCATTCTCCCATTAACTGAATGAGGCTGGAGTCCTATTTTAAAATAGCATATAATCACGTAATTCAATACTTTATTACAAAGAATATAGACAAGGGAATGGAATAAGGTTGCACAGGCAGCTTTTTTCTGACATTCACTAACTTATGAGTTCTTGATTTTGCAATCCTATTGGTGTTCTTTAAACCTAAGAAAATACACAAAACAGTAACTTTTTATTTAAAGAAAGCAAATTTGAAAAATCCTAGACATTTGGAAATTCCATCATATGGCACCATTGATAGCCACATCTTCAGGTCTAGAACTCTGAAATCTGTTTCACAGACATTTGCCACTTGAGCTAACTTCATAACTGATAGTGGAAGCAGTCTGAAATCCTGTGTGGTTCCATACTTTTCCAGTAGGTTTCATAAATATTTTTGACATCAGAGGAATGGTGAGATTCAGGGCTCTGGGACTCTATTTCAGGGTCTGGAATGGAGTGGATGGACTCATCGATTTCCCCTAAACTGGATTCCTTCTGCTGTTCCCCTCCTGTCCACACCTCTCTGTTCTCCTTCCCAATTTTTCATCCCTATTATATCTTCCTCACTTGGCCTGCCTCAATATTAACTCCTCAGGCTTCTCATCCCATTTGTCTGCACCAGAGTCTCTCTTTGCAGTTCCAGTCTCTTTCACTCCCAGTCTCAGTCTTCCACATGCTCTGAGTCCTGTCTTTTTGCTCAGCTATTCCCAGCAAGGGTCATTGAAAGCACAGGAGAGACAGTCCTTACTCAAGCAAAATGCAGGACAATGTAGCACTTTAAAGACTAACAAGATGGTTTATTAGATGATGAGCTTTCGTGGGCCAGACCCACTTCCTCAGATCAAATAGTGGAAGAAAATAGTCACAACCATATATACCAAAGGATACAATTTAAAAAAAGTGAACACATATGAAAAGGACAAATCACATTTCAGAACAGAAGGGGGATGCGGTGGGAGGGGGGAGGAAAGGAAGGTAAATTCCTGTGAGTTAATGATATTAGAGGTGGGGAAGGGTAGATGACTGAGAGTTAATGGTATTAGAGGTGATAATTGGGGAAGCTATCTTTGTAATGGGTAAGGTAGTTGGGGTCTTTGTTCAGCCCCCTGCGGACAGTGTCGAATTTTAGCATGAATGCCAGGTCAGAAGATTCCCTTTCAAGTGCAGATTTGAAAGTCTTCTGATGTAGAATGCATGTGATTAGGTCATTGAGACAGTGACCTTTCTGGTTGAAATGGCAAGAAACTGTTTTTTCTTTGTGATCCTGTCTGTCTGTTTTGTGGGCATTGATTCTTTGGCGAAGTGTTAAGCACTAGTCGACTATCTGATAAGCAAATGCTGGGGACTCTTGTACATTTCAAAGCTGGCACGCCGCACTGTATTTATGTGACCATCAGTTATTTGTACTATAATGTCCATGAAGTGAATCTCCTGTGTGGATAGTGGGGTGGAAGTTGTTGAAAGCCCAGTGGAATTCAAGGGCCTCCTTTCTGTGGGTCCAGATGATGATGATGTTGCCAGTGTAGCACAAGTAGAGGAGGGACACTTGGGGATGGGAGCTGAGGAAGCGCTGTTCTAAGTCAGCTGTAAAAATGTTGGCATACTGTAGGGCAATTCAGGTACCTATAGCAGTGCCTCTAACTTGAAGATACAAATCATTCCCAGATCTGAAATGGTTGTGGATGAAAACAAAGGCACAAAGTTCAGTAACCGGTTGTACCATGTCATCATTGAGGATATCGTTCCTGATGACTTGTAGTCCATACTTATGTACAGTATTGATGTGGAAAACTTCTGACTCCTGTAAAGAGATCTCATCACCTTTTGGCTTCTCTTTTTTTCTGTGGAGAGGGCAAGGAGACTTGCTGCTAGATCGCCTGGTGGGTAATGGGTGAAGATTTGGCAAGAGCGCTCTGGCTTTGACTAATGTATTTTTGAAAATTATTTCAGAAGTTTTGATGAACTACAACGGTCAAGTAAAGTGAGGACAGTACTATAATTAGAAGAAAAAAAGGGTTTTTTCCCCTTTACTTATCTTAATTGGGCCATTGTGCAGTGAATTGTGAATACAAGTTGAACCTCTCTTGTCTGGCATCCTCAGGATTGGAGTGGTCCCGAACAAGGGAATTTGCTGGACCAGGAGAGGTCAGGTGTCTGGGCTCTCCTGAGGCTCCGCTTCTGGCAGCGGCCCCGGGAGAACCTGGAGACCTGACCACCACCTCAAGCCCACCTGCCTGGATCTGCTGCTCCCTGGGGAATCCTGGCCCACATGCGGCATCAATAGCTGCTGCCAAGGTTTCCTGGCCCCACTTGTGGTGGCAATGGCAGCTGCTGCTGGTGTTCCCAGGCCCTGCACGTAGCAGGGCTACTGTTCCAGGGATTCCCCAGCTCCCGTGCGGCAGCTACTCCCAGGGCTCTCTACCCTCCTGTCATTGCCTCTGCAGGCTGCCACCAACCAAACCAGCTACGCTCACAGCTGCTCTCAAGCTCTGCAGCTGGGGCTCTCTGCTATAACATCTGTGGTCCTGCCGAACCAGGGATTGCCGGACGAGAGAGGTTCAATCTGTTTTTTCCCTAATTCTAATATTTATTTCACCTATTCAGCTGTGGTAGCACCGCAGAAGCATATATTGTCTCCATGCTAAACATGTCAGCAGAAGAAAATTGGGAAAACTGCTGGGGATTGGAGACAAGCATTCTTTATTTTATACATCTTGCTGAAGTTTTATACACTTACCGTGTATTTTTGCCCTTTTATTTAATGTTAGGTTAAATGCGCACTGAAAAGTATTTAACAACCTGCCAAGTCTAGAAGTTCTTTCATACCAATACAAATAATTCAGGACCGAATGATTTTTAGCTGCATTCACTGTGGGCCAATGAACAGAAAAGGATTTTTTTTTTCAGTCCCTTTAGAAATTCTTGAAAGAAGAAAATGCTAAAAGGGATGTAAGCAAATGCTCAGACTGGTAATTACCACATCATAGAGGAGTGTGTTCTTCTCTTCCTTCTTGCAAAGAGCTAGAAATAAGCTGTATGCAGATATCTCATAAAATATTTCTTTCTTTTGACAGTTCTGTTAGAAGAAACAATTGTGAAGACATCTGGACCAGTATGAAAGAGGATTTTGTATTTAGCTTTAAGAACTAGGCCAGGCATCTAGGTTCCTGCAAACGAGAAACATTTTTTTTAAAGCAGCATACATCCCTGGAGTTAACCTTTGGTTTTTGACACAACCATCCCTTCCTTAAATGCCTTCCTATAGTTAATAGTAGGGCCCGGATGCTCAGTTGTACGCTGTATGTTTAAAATATTTTTTCATTTTTATAAGTAAGTTGACATTAAACTTTTATCAATAAACTTTTGGTAACAGAATTGTTTTTCTTAACTATGTGAACAATGTACTGTATATTTTTTTACAGTCTGAAACATACCCACTAGACACATTTTACCTCTCCAGTCTGTTAAAAATGTATGAATGAAATCTGCATTTGTTTCTTATTGGCATATTCCTACTAATTTTGTGGGGAGGGAGGACAACTAACTTAATTTTAATTATACCAAATCTGCTGTGGTGTCTAAATTGCAGCTTGTTGGCTCTGTCTCGTTTGTACATACTGTTTATGATTTAATGCTTAAATTCAAATCATGAAGTTTGGAATTTTGTTAATGGATCTATTGAACTCTTCTGTTACAATACTTGGATGAGATTGGTTATGTAATGAGCATTGATCAATCCAATTTATTGTACTGCCCTAAAGTCTGTAAATTACTACAACCAGATTTTTTTTTTTTTGGAGAAATGACTTTATAGCTTGTTTAAATTTGGTTTAATTGTTTTATTTTGCTTATGTGTTTGATACCACAATTTATTTTAGACTTTGTTAATGAGCAAAGACATTTTGTGGTAGGCTGCTTAAATGGCAATCAGTAAACTAGTTGATAAAAAAGATTGGTTGGGGAAGTAATATTACTTCACATCAATTCATATAAATGGCATTAGTTCCTGTGAATGGCTCATGAACTTTATTTTGATATGTAGAATCATTGATGCCATTGATTAAACCATAGACCAGAATAAATCATTAAATTTATGGTCTTTCACCATCCAAGATGATAGAAAGATGTATTTTATTAGAATGTGATTTTGACAATACAGCTTTTAAAATACTGTGCAAATGTTATTTAGCAAAGAGCCAGCATTGTTAGAGGACATAAGATTCTTACATTTTTGGCCATCTTTATATTTATATTTATATTTAAGCTCTGGGGTGGGGAAGATCTGACCAATCAGTCTATGAGGAATTTGTGGATAGTTACTCATGTAAATGCATTTAGTTTCTGGATAATAAACTCCTTACCTGAAATGGGCAGTCAGATTTTTCTTTTGCTGATTTGCTCTGTAATGGGGGAGACATGCTTTCAAAGGAGGCAGCATTACATTCTAAAAAAACCTGATCTGTGAGACCCCAAAAACAGTTTGCTAAAAGCTTTAATCGTACATTGTAAATTAAGCAATTTCCCATTGAAAGAGAAGAATCGTCTGTTCTTTTGGAAGGGAAAATAAATGTGGATAAGAATTTAGCTTGCTGTAGATACATCTGCCTAAAAAAGGAAGGAAATTATTCATATATTTCAAAGGTTATTGCATAATTGTATGGAAAGAATTTGAACTCTGCTTGGTTGATATTTGTGCTATAATGCAGAAAGATATTTTTAAAATTAAACTGAATGTAAAAGTGAATGCAGTAATTTACAATGAAAACTTAGCAGGACTGTTTGAATTATGTACAGTTTCTTTGAAAGTATCTTGATCTTTTAAGTCGCCTCAGATAATAACAAATGAACTTTAATTATAAATGTTTAATATCAGTGTATCTGTCCTTTGTTTTTGGGCACTTCTGTAAGGAGAAGTTGTATTAAGCAAATGGTAGTCTTGTTACTTGGGTGCCAGTTGGACTTTGACAGCCAGTGGAAATCTAAGTTAGTTACAGAACAGGCACAATGAGAAGTTCCTCATAACATGAAGTATGAAGTTCCTCACATTCTATCTACTCTCAACCTATCCCAAACCTTATATGTAAGGATGGCCTGCCTTGATAAAAGGATACAATAATAATTCACTTTCCATGCCTGCTTGATTTTGTGAAACTTCCCACAAGATTCTGAACTGTGATACTGGCTTTCGTGATTAGTGGATGTCCTATGGGAACTGGAATGAGATACCGACTGTGGCTTCAGATGAAGAGTAAGTAGTAAACAGCTTCTGGGACTTGATCATGCAACTACTTAGGCAAAACACCCATGGATGTCAGTGGGACAAGTTAAGGACCCTCATCCCCACTGACCCAGATAGATTGCTGATTTAAATTGAGTCATTCATTTCCCATAAAGTTATTTGTAGTATATTTTACTATAAAATGTGTTTTCTTAACAAGTTTGAGACCGGTCACTAATAGTTTAAAACTTGGTTGTGGCTTTAGATTAAAAGGTTAAAAACAATCTCAATTAGGAGAATTAGTTTTCAAATTTCACATAAAGAAGGCTTTAATGGTCATTCTTGGTGTCTGAGTGCCTGCTATTACTGGAAAGAACACTTAGATATACTATGCTAAATTTATATTTGATTTAAAATGTGTAACCTACAGAATTTTGCTATATTGTACTAATGAATTTGGAATTTAAAGTTCAGTCTGAAGCACAATGTTGATGGCATCAATTGATGTGTTGGCTGAAGGGGTCCATGCAATTTTAATATTGCTTAGCAGGTTCATGAAAAGAACACCCTTTAACAGTATGAATGTTCTGTGGGAGTTATTGGTATATAAAGTGCAGATATTTAAAAGCTTGTATCAGTGGAATAGAAGGTTATTGCAGCTTAATGATGTCCTGCTGCTAGATAAATGCCAACACAAACAATGTTTATTTTCAGGCCAGGATATATTAATCCTGTGATAATGGTTTTGACATTATTTGTTCTATATAACTTGTGTAAATCTGATCCCTTTGTCTTCATATTTCTTTAATAATGCTTTACTAATGCTTTCTACTATAACAAGGTAATGAATATCTCCCAATTCAGTGGGACTAAAACTTGGCCCTTAGAAAAGATTGGCGTGTTTCGCTAGAGATGAGCTTCTGCAGTTATGCATAGTGAAACAAAATACAGGGAATAAGTGATCTCATGTGATTTAATTAACCTTATTTAATCATATATAAAATTCAATTAAAATGCTAATATTTAACACTTCTCTAGGATGCTGTCAAGTTAGTTGGGTCCAGCATCCTGGAATTGTGTGACAGGAGGATGTGTTTTAACTATAGCTGAAATGAATGGGAATGTTTCCATTAACTTTTATTTTTCCAGAAAACTGACCAGCTTAATTGTCCAAGTGAAATGCAGAAAGTGAAAACAGGTAGTAGAAATGAGCAAATTATTAAATGTAAAAGTACTTTTAAAATCTAATCTGATCATTTAAAAAAAAAATTCTGGACAGTATCCTTTCAATTTTAGTAATTCTCTTCCGTTGAATATAATAGACGAGAACCCATTGTGTTTCATGAGATACACACTTGCTTTGTTTGTCTCTTAGCTCTTAATGAGGCACCTTCAAAAAGATGAGGGAAAACATGAGCAAAACTCAATTGTCGGTTTTGTGAAATGATACAGCTTTGAATTTTTCTAACGCATATCTGATTTCACCAGCAAGCTGAAAGTGACCCAGTTTAACTTCGTTTGTCAGTTTAGTGCTTCTGAGAGGTCTGATGTAACCAAATTAATAATTTGCTAATACTCCCAAGTTCTCCCATTGCTGCCTCATCGACATGTCTATTTTGATCTTTATCTAGCACTGCGACTACTAGCCAGTATGCTAGTTAATACGCTGAATAAATTGAAACTGTTAATGTGAATAGTGCTGTGAGTATGTAAATGAACTGGACTGAGATATTGAAATTGATGTATCCAGCTGCTAAATATAGCAAAAAAACCTGGAAATCACTACTGAGTTGGACCAAATTTCAACTGGTGATCTAGAAGAGCTCTTTTTAACTGAGTCATATAACCTCATGTGCTGCTGGCAGAAGTGTTTTCCAGTTACTTGTTCAATGTTGTTGTTTTAATTAATCACTTTTTTTTTTCAAACTGGCATGTTAAATGCTGTTGTGTTTTATAGAAATTGGTGATAGCTACAGCTGTTGCTTACAACTCACCTTGTAGCAGGTCTTCTCCCTTGATTCTGTGTAGGGACAAAGCTCATTAATTATTTTAATGGGATTAACACAAAGAGAAAAACATCTCCGGCATGGTGCATTGAACAAGCTAGTAAATGAACATGTGTCTGAATTCCCCCCTCTCCCCCGCCCCCCTAGAGAAAGAGTTGAGTACATCATAGTGCCCGGCTGGAGAAAGATTAAATTCACTAGAAAAAGCAATGCAAAACTATCTGAGACAATCCCTTTTAAAGAGGTAATTTTTTTTTTTTTTTACTTCCCACCCTTCTCCTCCCCACCTACCTTCTGGTTCATATCTCATTGCATTCTTTCAAATCAATACATAGGAAACTACCACAGGAGTTAAATCTACAGTAAATGAAAATGTATGTAGTGGAAATGACATTAAACTACAGTATATTTTGGCTTAATCACTTGTCTGATGAAAAATGGATCTATAAACTCATAAATTTCTTTCGCTTCTTCCAAGGTTTAACCATGATAACTAATTTGAGGTGCATTTAAATGCAGTATTGTAATAGGTATGAGGTTTGTCAAAAAGCACTAGTTTGCACATATAAGTACAATATACTATGGATACCAGAAATGCACATACGAAGCTCATAGAAGAATACTGCTTTGCTTTGATATTTGTCTGAGCCTGACTTAATGCTATATCCCTGGAAGCTTGTTTTAACTTGCTTTTGTATGAAGCATTTGAACATCACCTCTGAAATAAGGGAGCCCCAAACACTCTATCCTGTAATTTAGGATTTTCAGTGTCTATGAACACATAAAATGGCTGCTACTGCAGATCTCCAGGGACTAAATATTGACATATTAATTAGTTATTTGCATGTGCCTGTGCAGTGAATAGAACAATACATGAGAATTCTTGTGCTTTATTTATTATTATAAATTCCCAGACTCTTCCCCTTTCCTAAATTCTTCAGCTTTTTATAAACTTTGACATTATGAACTTAAAAATGTTTTCAGCAGACTCTGATAGTAAAATAACACTTTTCATTAAGAGAATTCTATAGGCAGTATTATTCCAAACCACTAGTTTCATAAACTTGAAGTTGTAATGTTTGATTTCCATGAGCACATTGTTTATATGTATCAAGTAGCCACTCCAAGACAAGTACCATCTCTTCTTCAAAATTAGGACCAGGTTGAACTATTATAAAATGTTAAGCTTCAGTCTACTGTAGTCCAACTATCAACAGCATAACTGTTTCTACTGTGGCTGCACAATGGTTGGGAAAGGTGAGAGCAGTCATAACTAACACTGTTTAAAAAAATAAATTGGAAAGTTATTTCTTTCCAGAGTAGTAATTTTAACTTCCTGTACAAGAGTTCATGTCCAAGTACATTCTGCTACTGTAAAAATCTGTCTCCACATTCTCCTTTGCAAAGTGTCACTTAGTTGATCAGAGGCTGCATTTAGCTTGTGGTATCAGAGCCCTCTGCAGGTTAAAATATTGAAAGTTCATATTAAAATATGCCTGAGTTACTTTCAGGTAGATATCCTATTAACTCTAAATTCCTTGTTGGTTGATGTAGCTCAGAGTCCCATTTCTGGTTTTTTGTTTTGTTTTTTTAAAATAAATACATTAATAAAAATACTATGCTTTGATGGATTTTTCAGATAAGGACTGAAGCAAGTCCTTATAAATAGCAGAGTTCATAAACCGTGGGTAGGAGTCTCTATGCATTAAGGTGTAGATCTGGAGCTGTGCATCATCAAAAGTATGTTGTGATGGTTCCAGCATATTTCGGTTGATAACTTCCCTTACTCGGGAGTCCAGGCTGACCTGTATATTAAAAATGCATTTGTTGACATTGGTGAGCGCGCACACGTTTCCAGCTCTACCCATTTTAAAACACTTTTAATAATTTTAATCTTCATTCCTCAAACAAAGCGTAAAGTGTGTCGGATACACATAGTGATAACAATTTTCTGCTTTCTAACTTTGTATACAATTATCGCCTTGAGGGTAGCAGTAGAGGAATCCTCTTGTAACGATTCTCTCTGCCTTCTAACTTTGTAAGCAATAGTCACCTTGAGTAGCAGAAATAGAATTGAAAAAGGCCCCCTTACTTTTAAACAATACATCTGGAATCGTATTAGTGCTAAATTCTGAAGATATTGCTGGAATTTTTGTTCCTTTTGCTTAATCAGTGAATTTTGTGTGACTAGCTTTTGTTTCCTTGGGAAGGAATATCTCAGAGGCTTAGGATTAAGCGGAAAGCATCTGCAAGCAACAGAAATGTTTAAGCAAATCCCTTTACTAAAGAGTGGACAGAATTAGATATGAATTGCAAATAATTGTATAATGGTTCCATATTAGATGGATATTGTGAAAATTAAAATTTCACTGAGGTGGTAGTCTGAAAGATACTATGTTAACAGGTACTAAATTTCTTTTTAAACAAGAAATTAACCAAAGGAAGAAACTCAACTTTATAGTATAATGTTCAGTATATGAAATATTTACCAATATCAAACAACTAGATAGTTTTGTATATCTGCTGACTGTAAGAGAAATTTTCACTTATGGTTAACTTTTGCTGTATGGTTAGTTGTCCTCAGAACAGATTATATTTGAGCAATTCCTTTAAATGGAATTTTTCATGAAATATAAAGATTTTAAACTCATTTATAGTCTTCCATTTCTTTTTTTGCTGCTATTTAAAAAAATCTAGCTTGTTTGATTTAAGCAAGGAAGATGCTCTTTGCACTGTTATGCCTAGGAATTACAGTCTAATATCAGTGCTTTATAGTACCACATCTGCTGCTTTGTCTGTTAACCAGGAAGATGGAGGATAGTTTCAATCATAGCACTCTGATACCTTCACTTTCTAAGTCTCCATTATTAGTAGGTTTTTTTAACTGTAAATGTAGATAAGCATCAGTATTACTGTTTAAACAAATCAAAATTTCCATCGATGATTATCAAAATGCATTGATAAGCAAAGTAAGAAAAATGCTACTTGAGAATGTCATAGCATATGTCTACACTGCATGGCTATTTCAAAATAAGCTATTCTGGAGCAGTTATTCCGAAATAGCTTATTTCAGAATGGCATGTCTACACTGCAGGGAAGCCTCAAAATTAGTCCAAGGCAGGCTTCCCTAATGTAGATGTGCTATCTCGATTTAGAGCCCCAGGAGACATTGGGGAGGAATAATTTAGATTGACCCAGGTAAGGGGCTATTTTGAAATAGCAGCTTTGGAGCGTCTACACATGCCTTAGTTTGAAATAGCTGTTTCAGAATAGGCGTTATTCCTTGTAGAATGAGGTTTACAGATTTGTCCATTATTTAAAAATTATGTTGGAAAAAAAGGAATGGCTGTCTAGACACTCAAATTGTTATTTCAAAATAAAGCTAGTTATCTTGAAATAGCGGTGCAGTGTAGGCTCACCCTTAGAGTTAGATTTAAGGAAATTTTACTTTGTATATTTTGATATTTATGTTGACATTTTGTGTGTTAATACTTTTAAAACATTAGCTTTTTGAACCCCAGAGTCTATCATTAAATAATTCTCTGACCTTGACTGACATAATTTCCTGAAACTTTGAAAATGTAAATGGGTAAAAATTAAAAAATGCTTAAACCCCATAATATTGCATAAGTATAAACATATAAATACAAATTACACTTAAATTTAGGGATTTAATAGTATAGTTGACTAAATGATTAACCTATAAGTGGTTTCTTATCAGTTAGCGCTATGCACTACACACAACACTCTTACCCCCTCCTCTGCCCCCACTAAATTTTTAGTGGGCTGGCTGACAGTCTAGCTCAGTCTCGGTTCATGCTGGGACTGGCATCAACCCCTGTTGACTTAGTGCTTGTAGTGTAGAGCCAAAGTGGAGGTAGTTGCGGGACCCAGCAGGAGTCAGGATTGAGTGGTAGAAGTGCCATCCCTTATCAATTAATTGTGTAGTCAACAAAATGTTTGTCAACTACACGATAAACAAATTACATGCTTCTTAACTTTCCTACTTAAAGTAGATATTCTGTCAATTATAAACAAATCAAATTCTGTCCAGCCTGATTTTTACCACTGAACCTCAGAAGACCTGTATCTCTGGGTTTAGCCGTCTTTGCCTTTCTTTATTCATGTTACAATTAACACTGTGCAGTGCAAAATTAAGCAATGAGCTGGGGAGGGACACACACCTCTTTTGGAGAAAGGATAGAAATATAATCTTCATAGATTAACCTTGCTTTTTCTTCTATGACACTCTTGTTGGATTCCTGCTTTAACTCCTCACAGGCCATCCAGAAAAGCATGTTTTCTTCACTGAATTCTGTTCGGAGGAACTCCCGGAAAGCATTTCTGCCAGCTGGAGTGATCATTAGCTTGTCAAATGACTGAGCCCATGCATTTACTTCTTCAAGTGTAGGAGTGGGACTTGAATGAGAGAATGGAAAAGGAGATATTGATGCTAGTTTCTCAGAATTCAGTCACTAGAAAAGAGACATTCACTTTTACTGAAAGAAAAAAAGCTTTATATGAGTCTAATGCATGGTAGGTCAGACTCTATTAACCGAAACCCAATACTGTCACCCTGCTGTGAAACTCTAGTAAAAGGATAAGAGGGTTGTGGAAGATAAACTCTTAAAGATGCGATCACATGTTCTGTTGACTATACCAGCTTTATTTTAAGTGTTTCTCAGAGTGGTCCACAGATCCATTCTGTGAGAGCTGCCAATGGGCCACTCCTGTTTGTTTATTTACCAGCCCCATAGGCACGGAGCCTTGTGGCTCCCGTTGGCTGTGGTTTGCCATTTGCAGCCAACAGGAGCTGCAGGAAGTGGCATGGGCCGGGCCGCTGCTTCCCACAGCTCCCCTTGGCTGCAAGCTGCAAATGGCAGACCACAGCCAGTGAGAGCCATGAGGTTCCAGGGTGCGGTACTGGTAAATAAATAAACTGGAGCTGCCCATTGGCAGCTTTCTCAGGGTAGATTCACGGACCACTTTCAGAGATACACGGTTTTAAACAAATACTTGAAATGTACTTAACCATTGAGGGACAGAATAAAATGTTTTTCTAGGATTCAAATGAACAGTTATCTTTTTAGTTAGCTAGTGTCCCCATTAGAAGTACGTAATGTGTAGACCCAGTCAATATGTTTATAGCTGTTATGACAAAAGCTTTACTTCATCTTGATTTGTATAGATCTTCATCCTAGAGCACCCATGAAAGAATAGCAAAAGTTAATTAGTTGGCTAACTCATGATAGAATCAATATTCTCCCTTGTTTATTAATCCTAATTTAAAGCTGGGAGCTACCAATTGGATTGGTTAAGATTTCATGAAGTGATGGAAATGAGAGGAAAAATTAGACATGTAGGCAGAGAATGGGAGATTGCTTCTTTACTATGTTTTTGTTATT